TAGCAGAGATGAAATGTAGATGTTTTTTTATCTGTTTGTCCAACCAATCAAATGTGATTATCAGATCTCACACTCAGTTGATCCTTTTAACGATCCACTCCTAACTTAGACTTGATTGATGTCTCTTCAGATCACAGCTACTGTCCATCCGCTCCAGACTTACTGTAACTACAGACAGTTGGTCATACGAGTACTGATCTCTTAGCTGTCTATACATAAAGAACCAATACAATAACCTCAAAAACGTGTGTTTGAGGTTCATGTGGCAATACATAAGTATTTCCTAAAAGTTAGAACGTTGGGTGGTTTGCATTTGACTGGTGGGTTGGAGCTGCACTTACACCACAGTCAGAAACTAGTATGTTTTTTGTATGATTTAAACAACACATAGTGATTGATGTGACTGTCCAGACAGTGCGTAACGAGCACTGGAAGCACAAACCATGTCTAGTACCACTCCATTTCAAACTAAGAGCACGAATTTAGAGAGAAGAACTAATTTGGTGAACCAAAGTTACCAGAGCCACGACATACGAACAGAGGGTACAGCCGAAGAAATCAAGGTGGGGTAAAAGAAGTGTGTTTCTCAGTAATAATGATCTAATCTTCCATCTTCAGCAATTAGACTGCCTTTTGAGCAAAGCGTATTCAAGTGTCCCAACTGTTCGAAATGTTGTCATTGATACGGACTGACCTTACTAGAACTTACCTATAAGACATGCTTCCTAATCCTACCCCCTAGAGATATTGCATAGGCCTCTCACATAGATTTAACATGACTGGCAATCGTGAACGGCCACGTCGAGTGACACACTATGCTAAAAGGCCAAAACTATAACTTCTATCTTTCTATTAACGCTGCAGTATTATTTCCCTGAGCAGACCTAACGACTACGGTTCCTGCCTTAGTGTTGTCAGAGTGGTGCTGCATTATTTTTCTCTATGGTTGTCTATTCTCTTTGGGGGGCCCATCAGCCTCCCTGAGCTTCGACCATGCCATCTCTTCTCGTCTCCTTTATCATGCACGCATCGTATCATCTCCGTCTCCAGTGCTGGACTCATTGTTATCCTGTCTAATGCTCTTCTACTTCTTCTCCACGCAAGATATCATATACTAGCTTTTCTCGTCAGCGCAGGTTCTCATGGATCCTGTGAGGAGACTCGGTAGCAATGAGAAGAGCAGTACTTACCAGCAGAATGGCTTGCATAGACATGCCAGTTACAGACGTTGGAATTTATCTCTCGAACCATCGCGATTAACTGTTATAGACATGCATTCAGGATGGATCCTCATTATTCGTAGTATTCATTATTATTGTTGAATTGGTCTCTCATATATGCTAGCGCACATGTGCTGCAGGAATAAAAGCCAATGTTGGCTACGCAAAATAACTTCACCTTATGTTCATCGATGCATGTCGAGTTTTTCTAACCTCGTACATAACGATTGTCTAGTTCAGTATGTGCAAGTCGATTGTGTGTTATACTTCGTGGCCGCTGTAGCCAAGTCATAGGTTGGCACGCTGTGTCTTAGCTTTACGTAATCTCTTTCGTGATCGTGGCCAGTCCCGATCCCTCTGTGCCCCTACATAACATCGAAACCTCTACACACACCTACACAAGTGCGGTCAATGACAATAATCGCTACTGTAAACCATGAACTCGCGCCTTCTGGTACCTCGGTCATCTGCGTGCGTCTGCCGCGGGCTAACATGTTGTTCACTAATCTGCGTTTCTGGCTCTGTCCATTAGCTAGGCAGGGATCATATCTTTTGCTCCTCTACAACACACACGCTTTCGCTGCTGCCTGGTAGGCCCACCAAAACGTTGGTCTCCTTAGTATCTCAAACCTTCTCCATAAACCACAACCAACCCGTGAAATTGTATTGGTCCTGAGACCTGTCATCTTACACACCTTTCAGAAAAACAAATGCATGTGTCCTTGATGAATGGTTCTTTATTAACATGTACTGTAACAACATGGGGACAGTACCAGATACTATTTCAAAGACCGCGCCGCTTATTAACAGTAAGTCCAGGAGGATGACAGTCAGACTTGAATAACCTCACATGATGTAGAACAATCAATGACATTGTACTGACACAGAAATATGTCTAATTCTATTGGAGCGAGAACCAGAGACAGCATACAGGTATCACCGAGATATTAGAACGCATCACAATAAAAGAACTAGAAGATAATAAATTCATACATATGAGCGCATTCCCGAAAGAACACAAAATTCACCATTTAGTATAGTTGATCTGCTAAAACTATGTTATGTAGGCCATCTTGTCTCATGAAGAAACATCCGGCTAGCATGCGTGTACTACAAATGTAATTCACACGGTGTATAGATACTATGGAACCCATGTGCCAATCAACATCCAAGGTTGTGTGATGTGATGTATAGTGAGGCCTTGCCAAGAAAACGGGACAAACATAAAAAGACCAAAGTGATTGCTATTACCCTGAGCACGCAAGAGCGAACCTGCACACGGCAATGTGCCGAGGAGTGGCTGAAGTTACCGTTACCATTCACCCGACCCCCGTCTTACACCAGTTGTCAAAGAACTTGCTGGCATGTTGATTTTGACCTATCCACACGCGACAGAACTGAACCCCTAGCCATATCCGCGTTCACCAGCACCTCCTCTGAACGTTACAATGAGCGGCCTTGGATCTTCACGGTCGGACATTCACTGATATCTATTTATTCTATGGTTGAATGAAGAATGGACAGGGGTTGTTGTATACCTCTAATCATTCAAGTACATTTAGATTATCCTCGATAAACTATTCAAAATAAAGACTCGTTATGTGGTAGTCTAATGTTAATCATATAATCATATTTACTACTTCTACAATAGACATTATTATAATCATAGTTGAGATGTTTAAAGATAATGTTTTTATGGTTTTTTATTCCCACCTTCTCATATTATTTAATATACTGTACCAGCTAAAGGTCCTGTTACATACACACTTGAGGGTTACATTAAACAGAGCGAGATTTTGCGGACCTAGGGATAATTCTGTTTCCAGTTTTCACACTGAGAATATCTAGAACATGCATGAAAAAAGGCTTGGAAACTGTTACCATTAGACTAGGGACACAAACGACCCCACCACTCACAGGTCTTCAACCATTAAACAGCTTCATTCACACTGTCAAGATCGCAGAGTTTGGCAAGCACAAACAGGTTCATCTACTTTGGGGAAGGAAGGTTTGGGAGCCCAGTGCCAGTCCGAGTTTATCGAGCAACACACTCAAATCATGCCTGATCTGGTAGCGAGCTGGTGAAATTTCCTTGCTGTAGCTCTGTGATGAGGGCCATCTCTGCTACAGCAGGGCGTGCAACTGTATGTGTATGTCGCTCGGTTGTGTCTGGTGTATGTTTGGGGGGCTCCCTCAAAAACCCCTGACTGTCGAACAGCAAGCAAAAAGACTCATACAGTGTGATATAGCACCACCAACAAAACAGACCACCTGCGTCAGGCTGATCCGGTCACCCATGAGGAACAGAATTAGACAGTTTTTGCTCATGGAAATCTAGCAGATTTGACTATCCGTAGCTTTGTAGATTGAAGTAGATAGAATTTGAAAATGTCTCAATGCACTGCAACATTATGTGCAGATATTGTCGAATATGTTACATAATGCTTCTACTGTTAGCAGCAATGTTAAACCTATGGTGTGTAACCTTATGCCTTCGAGTTTATTTTTCTGTTTGTACAATATAAGTCAATTCCATCAGTCGTAATGTAGCTCTAAGATGACATGTTGTAGGTTGCTGTTTCCAGCACAAGTATCAAAATTATGGTCCTCCAATTGAACTGTTCACAGCTTGGCCTGTGCATGAGATGGCCAAAAGTCAAATGTGTATAGGTAATGAGTATACCACATACATACATACCTCACATACATACATAACCGCAATACATATACCCTAGGGAGTACCCCAATACATACTGATTTCATTAATTATTACAAAGGAACATAATAACAACCTGTATGTGTGTATCCTGGCTAGTGCCTGAGCACAAAGAAGAAACGCAAACCGACAAGGTCGCCGATAAGCAGAAACGCCCACGTGACGCAGAACCAACACAGGGAAAGAACCGCACAAACCAACCACCCAAAAACCCCGCACCGGAGGAGACAAAAGAAAAAAAACATCTAGAGGTGCACAGCAACCGTAACAGGTACTCCGAAGAACAAGTGGGGGTAACTGCTATTCGATAATAGAATCTAACTCCATTCAGACACAAGTGCTCCTTACAGCAAGCATATTCGTGAGCTCGCGAAGGTGCTCGCCGAATTTAAGAGTAGCAGGCTTAAGACTTTCTATTTGATAAAGCTTAATATGTTAATCGGGCTGGTTCAACTCCCAGCCCTCAGTGTACGCTGCCATACTAGGCCCTCAAGACTCCATCGGGGGATTGTCCCCATGGGTGCACTCGAGCTCGCTCTCATTCCCTCTCTCTTCTCCTGCATCATGCTCATGTCCCATTGGATGCATGTACTCAACTTCACTTCTTCCCCGGAGATTCTTGTGCTTTCTCGCTCGCAGGTCATCATGCGATCTGTCGAAGCCATACCTCCTGCGGTGAACCCTGGCTTGACATGCATCCGCTAAATATCACCTGTACATATGTACATATCTGCTATCCCCCTACTTATCTATGCTCTCCGTTTTAATTCCATCTATCGATCAGATATTTATCGATGCCTTTCGACTCATCGCCAGTCACCTACCTACTTAGGTGCCGTAGTTGTTCCTGCTACTGTCTCTCTGCCCTATGCACCCTCGCTTTCTCTCTGTGTCGCTGCCTCTCTCCTCCTCACCCCAACTACTCGACGCACACCGACGACCAACCACCTAGAGTCGAAGGGCTGTCCTACAGTTTCTGCCCGTTAAAGCAGTTCCCACCCCCCGTCCCGCCAATGTGTTGCTCATGGTGGTAGCTGTGGTCTCTGTAAAGTCCTTAAAAGATTTTGGTCCTTAGACCTGCCTATTTAAAAAGTGTTCCCTGAGATAACTTCTGTTATGCGAACTTGGCGATAATTCAGAATAAATGCAAACTGAATTGAACTGAATTAAATTCAATTTATCAGCCAAACAGCTCAGACACAATATGTAACTGACTGTAAAAACATGACCTCAAGACACAGAATAATTGTTATTGCAAAACTATTGTCTTGTCCAGAAACACCCTGCTCGTGTACACAAATGTACACGGTTGATATGGACCCAGTGCAACAACATCAGGTGGGAGGTGAAGTGCCTTGCTCAAGAACACCTAGACAGTGGTTACTGAGAGAGGGAGGGTGGAAAGTTAGTCATTCACACCACCTACAGTTGCAAGACTGTGAGGATTTGACACCACAGCAGAAACTGACCCTAAGTCCGTTCACAGAATTCACTGTCTGCTCTACTGAACAACATGGTTGATAATGGTTGATCTACATCAACATTTAGAAACTGTACACAATTAACGGTTGTCAACTGTAAAACTTAAATTAAATATATTATATATTATTATATATGATAACACAATTTGCTTGTATTATGATATGGTTCCACTGAGAATTGATAAATGATGATGCTCCCTCCTTGCTCTTTTACTATTTCGTATAATATTTACTGCGTCTCAAGGCAACAGTCACACTAAGGGCTCTCGTGAAAAACCTGCGTTCAAGGAAAACACCACCTTGGGAGCTAAACACAATCTTTGATGAATCTCTTATAAAGCTGTGCCTTCTCTTCCTCCCTCTTTATGCATTTTGTCTCTTTGTATCTCCACAGAAGAGTAGCTTGCGAGTGATGAACATGCGGATCCCAATTCACCGGTTTGGCACGAGGCCTGTTGCATAAGGAGGACATAGAAAGATTTACTGTAACTACTAAATGGTTGAATGTGACCACTCCAGTGCATTCTTTCATGGCGAACCCATCCTTTTAATGCACACTGAGCCAGGTTAGTTCATTTAAGTGCATGTTTAGTGGACTGATATGCCATCTAATTCTTCTAGAGGTGCAGATTACCACTTATCAACAGCAGTGGTAATATACAACAATTTTTTAAAGACATGTTTTGGTTTCTTCATCTGTCAACTGTCAAACGTCAGTGAGTGAGAGAAAATAACCTCCACCATATCATTTTGGATTGTGTTTCCCCTCCTTTAGACTCACCAAGAATATTCAGTGCATCAGGGTAAATGCTGAAGTTACACTTTTTTTTTTTTTTTTTACAGACGCTTTTTGAAAAAAGGTACTTACTACCCACAGCTACGTTCTACACAGAAACAGAGGAAAATAAAAAAAATATCTTTGCCTTTTTGTGATGTGCGGAACTCTGAAACAGGAAGTGGATACAGAAGAAGAGGAAGCTGCCCTATTTGATAACACAAAGTGGTGCAAAGACGCCACCGAATATGACACATGCAGAATGCACACACACTTACCGATAACATAGGCAGATAGGAACTGACATTTTCAGCTAAAAACTGGATGCAAAAACAGAGTCTCAACCTACTGTGTATATAGATGTATAAATATATCAATATATTTTGATATCAAACACACTCATACACCGATACAATTTACCAATGTATTCTATATAGTAGATATAGTCTAGTATAGTATAGTATAGAGATATAGTCAGATACATAATATCACACTGTCCATTTAGCTTGTGAATCAATTGACTTTACACATATAGCTCAGCATTGGTATTATGCAACAACCCCATTAATCTTTGACAGGGTCTGACATGCTGTCTGGTGCTGTAGTATCAGGAACGGGTTAACACTTTAACATCGGCTCAAACGCACAGCTCCAGTTTTTTTTTAAATATTTGTTGTTTATTGCAGTCCTAATTGTTGACTGCAGTGTGTATTAGGTATCACTGGTTGTAGATGTAACAACATACAAACGGTATATATAATCGCGTGTATATGTTAGAATGGAACTAAACACGATGATAGTTTGTAAGTTTGCAGAAAACAGTTTGAATTGAGTGAAAGCATTTCCTGAGCATCACAGACTTAAAGCAGAGACTTACGTGGCATGATCCCTTGGCTGACCAGTTCCTCTCGTGTGCGTCTCTGCTGGAGTTTGAGCTGGAGGACTGCATGGAGACAGAGGAGAGAGACAGTCAGTGACGCCCGGTGAGAATTAGAAACCGCAACGATGGAGCTCTGAGCTCTTAAAGCTTCCTTATTGTCTTTTATCGTCCACTGATCAGCAGTCCATCTGCCACATTCAGATAAATAACCTCGCACGGAAACCCAGACGCATTTGGGCTGACATGAAGAAGACCCAATTCATCCTCCTATTTCCCCCTTCTTCTTTTGTGCGATTTTTGAAGCTATAGGGGAGGCGGGTACAAGGAGGGTGTGAGCAGCCTACTACACACTTCCTGTTTTTTTTGTTTTTTTCTCTGTGTGCACAGATGTGTGTGAAAAAAACATAATCCAAATTTCATTAAGAGAGATAGAGCCAAGCACAGCAAAATGATGAGAGAGGAGGAAAAAATACCTATTAGAGCTCTTGATTTGAGAGCAGGTGAGAAAAAAAAAACATGGGCCGATTGTGCTTCAATTCCGAAACAGGAAGCACTTGTTACATAACACAACAGGCCAGGAGAGAGCGTTTTAAGGAACCCGGTCCTGGACAAAAGGAGTTAGACCATGTTTGACCTTTCTGCAACTGACACCATTTCAGTTGTTGTGCATTGTGCAGCCCAGTCGTTCTCATCTTGACAGCTTTTAAATTCAAACTCATTTTTATGGCTCGACTCTTGGGATAAAGCTTATTCGCTCTCATGCTCGCAATTAAATGTTAAACCATGAACAAGATAAAGAATCTTACAGAATAACAATTTAAATATGGACAGCTGCAGGATCATGCAAGTGCATTGTATTTCATCATTTGCTGCAGTATCAATTTCAACACTGCAACACTGTGAGTATTTAGGGAAGTGAACCGGACCCTTCAATCAGCTGCACAGACAACTACACAACACATCACTGACCAGGGCAATAATGTGCAGAATAGCTACAGGGTTGACACTGCAGACACTCGTTTGTGGTGTGATGGTTTTTTTTAGATGTCATCAAATAACTGACATTGCACTATACTTCCACTGTGCTTCTTGGCAACACTCTGTTTCCATTTTAAATTTGAAGACATACACACTTGCCGCTCGCCTTGGTTTTAAGTTAGCAGTGTTCGATAAAAATCAGAGGAAGGAATAAAAATGTTCTCACACTAAATACCATTTTCACCGACACAGACATTCAACTCAGCTCCACTCAGCTGAGACTCTTGCTTTATATGTACCAGCTGTCCCTGTTGAAGGGGTACGTGTGTGTGCATGTGTGTGTGTGAAGTGTAACGCCACCGAGGCTTCCCGAGCATTTCTGGCCGGGGCTGCGTCTGCCGCACAAGCAGCACCTGTTCCATCCCACTAACAAAAGTGACATCACTGATCAGCTAACCAGTTAGCCGTCCTGCATAGCTGCTGCTGTGTTAGCCCCGTGTTATGACAAGCAGTCCAGGCCTGGGCAAGAAAACACTGCGAGTCCCATGAAATAACGTCAGAGCCCGTGCAGCTAAATGTCATTCCTTGGCTCTGAATCCTCGCTGGCGATCCCGTCTCCCTTCTGTTATATCTACAAGGGTGTATGCTCTACATCTTGAGGGATCAGACTCGCACTAGAGGCCTCTGGAAGCAATAACATGTCAGCTCAGTCGGCGACGTAAACACACAGACCTAAACACAGCCAGGCAAGTTCATGTATATGTTGCACCAGTGCAGCAGCTCAGAGATTAATTTTCCCTCAGAGCCAAACACAAAGGCAAACACTTAGGAGACTCACGTGTTACCCGAACCCGCACACACACGAATACAAAAACACACAGGCGCTGACCGTGCCGTGGCAGAGTGCAGGATAGGATGCAGAGCCACCTGGCACTTCCAGGGAAGAGGTTTATTCTGGGAAAGAGAATCTTACACTTTCTTTCTATCCCAGCGAACATGTCCATGCTCTCGCCTCATATTCTTTCACATAGACAGGACACTTAGTTTCACTTATTTATTCCCTCCTGCACTCTCTTTATCCCTCATCTCTGATGGTAAGTGAACTGGAAGTCCTTGCATTAGCAGTTTCGTGCAGTGGCCACAATGGCTTGTATAAGTAAAGACATAGGTCTATAACAAGGCTTGAAAATGATAGTCAGCATTAAAACTATTTTCTTACAGTGACACCTCATCACACATGCTAGTGAAGGTGTCGAGTGTGAAAAGCTGCAGTGGTGTTGAAACTGCAGGCTGATGTGGGGAAACCAAAATGATGGTGCAATAATAACTTAATTACCTGAAAAATATATCTATGGGAATGGAAACAAATACTTAACTTAAACGTAAATTGTTAGAACTAACCAGAAAGTAAGCTCTGCATTGGTGTCAGGAGTGTAGGTGACAACTTTTGTACTGTGAGTGTGCAGTTTAGATACCAGCTATTGTCAAATATCTGCAGTGATCTAATTTGTTAAACGTTGCTAAAACAAGAAACCAGACATCCTCGACTGAGTGTTAGGATAAAGATAAACACAGTTTAATAAAGAAGTGTGTGGGGTTTTAATGGGTTTTTTACATTTGCAAGATTTAGACATCAGACAAGGGGAGCATGGTGGCAGAAGTGTGGATTATTAATGACTAACGATCATTTTAATTATTGATTAATCTGCCAATGAAAATTGTGAAAATATTCATTTCTGTTTCCTAAAGCCCCAGGCAAAATCTTGTTTAGTGCACAACCCAAAGATATTCAGTCAACTGTCATAGAGGACTAAAGAAACTGAAAGAAATACATCAATATGTTTTCTTCTGTACAGTAGACTACTTCTTAAATGTATAAACATGCACACGGTAAATATAATGAATAGGATAGAAACGTGATATTACACCGACCAGCTGCATATAAAAGTAGATTTTAATATAAACCGGTTATTGCAGTGCATAAACAATTTCTCTGATCTCCTGCTTTAATGGGATTTCTCACAGTTATGTGTCATGTGTGCATTTAAACACAGTCATCACTACAGTCATCACTACAGTCAGCAGTGATGATTTGTGAATTGTTAACAGATGAATGTTTGAAATGAAATGATCATTAAATATGACAAAGCCTTCATCTAAATCAGGTTTGAGGGCCATTTTGGTTAATTTAAGAAAAGGATGAAAAGGCAGGGCAGTTTTATTGGGATACTAGGCCACAGCCAAAAGTGGCCTCCGCAGTCATAAAAAGTTAGAGCGAAGGAACACAGAGGGAGAGGGACAGAAAGACAGAAGTTGCAGCTACATTTACAGCTTGTAGATTAAGTAGAGGAAACAATGGTGAACGCAAGTCTGCTGGTTTGCTCGGGGATACTTGAGCCTGTGATATTTTGGTAGCAGGGTGGCTCAACTGCTATACCAACCTGCTGGCCAGAGTGCAAAAGTGACAGATTCAGTTTCAGAATTACATCCTCACCTACCCACCTTCATTTTCTTAATTTAATTATTTAGATGTAACGTGTAGGGCGACATCTTAACATTATTTTCATTGTCGACTTATCTTAAATGTCTTCTGAGTGAATCAGTAATTGTTATGTATGTTAAAATATCACCAACAACAGCAAACGCACATCAGAGCTGATCGGAACAGAGAGTAATGTCAAGCAGCATGAATTGGTTTAAGGTTAGAGAGGGAGGAGGAGGAGGAGGTCAGCTAGGTAGGGCCAAGTTCTTGGTCGCCAACTAGGCTAATCCCGCTGTGCTCATGTGTCGTTAGATCTGATTAAACATGTCTGAGTTCATCACTGCCCCCAAAGCCCCCCCCCCCACCAGGCTTTACACAGCTAAGCCTACGCGAACTGACCATAGCAACAGACATGAAGGCAGAATGCTCCACGCCCACACTGGGTGAGGAAGTGGGCATGTGAAGTCAGAAACGGACATGATCGCACAGCCCGGCTGACAAACAACGTCTCACAGATGATGTGCACCGACGTTACACTTGGCATTGGTGTTGGAAATGTTCTATTTAGAAAAGGCAGTAAATGTTCTCCGGCATGAGCTCATTGTTTGCACAGTAATGTAGTTTGATTGCATCTGTTGAACAGAGAGATGAACGCAGCGCCTGACCACAGTAAATGTTTCACACATCAGGCAGAATGGAAAGAGGCTAGAGGGCAGAAACAATACAAGGTTAAGGCCATTCACACCTTCCAGTCACTCCCACTGCTTTCGCACTGCTGCACTGTGCTGAGAGGACACGCAGGGTTGCAGTGAATACTAATTATCTTAAAGTTCAAGGAAGACAAGTCATATTCCCAAAGCTTTCGTGGTTTTGCACAGCTTCTGTCACTCACACTTTCTCTAGACAATGATACATGCCTAGTTTTGAAGAAAAAAAGGAGACCTGGAATGACTTTTCAACTGACAACTGTGGTGTCATGTATGCGCAGGGATCGTGTCAGCTGTTGTTATGCTGCTGTAGAAATTCCTTCCCTCGCTTTTCTACTGACCTCTTGCTTGTACTGTTGGTTATAAACAAACTGAAGCTTATTTTACTGTTTCACTGACTGTAAACTATTCCAAATTAGGCTATATCCACAATTCTTCATATGATGTCACTTTTGGCTGTCTTGATTGTTCCCTTTCTATGGTAAAAGATGTGTTTGTAAGCCAACACACAGTGGCAGGCAGCAGCCACCATCACATTTCATACAGCCTACAGTACTGCAAATGCACTACTACTACTACTACTACTACTACTACTACTACTACTACTACTACATAGTCAACTTGAAGCATCAACTTCCAATCTGGCTGAAAATGAGAATTACATTTCCTAAGAATTAAATATAATAATATAGAATAATAAGAGAACTAATAATATGTAAACAAAAGTCTGTTATTGTGCATGCAGGCGATGCAATACACATTCCTGCCAATGGTTTCACGCTACTGTTCTGACCTACAGGTGGCGGTAATATGGCAGAAAATGCAGCAACATGCCAACCAAGGCAGGGAAGAAGAAGACTGCTAGCAAGTAAACATGGGTGCATAATGGAGGTTTT